GATATATAAATAATGAAAAAGAAAAAAACACTCGCTCCCTCCATTTCCATCCAGCCCGATCACAGCACTGCTCCTCCTCCTCCTCCTCCTCCTCCTCCTCGCCTCCGATGGCCATTTGCTCGTCTCGCTGCAACAATTAACGGAAAAATCAATGTGCAGGTGGAGGTAGCCAGGTGGAGGGAAGGGGTAGGGGGTGCCGCACCCCGCCACGACGCCCCGTTCGGTCCACCGGGCCGTGGGAGGGAGGAGGGAGTGTTAATTAAAATGTAAACCGAAATGTACTGCCGGGATGGGTGGCGGCATGAGCACGGTATGGCGGGGCGGGCTCCAACCGGCGGAGCTGCGAGCAGAAGCGCGAGCTGCAGCCCACAAGCACAGCGGACATGACACGCTAGAGCATCTCACACCGGCCTGCACGACCACAACTCGAGGATTGTCTCAGCCTCATCGCGAGGTGACCTTGGCGGCGTTTAGAGTGCAGTCCGTCACTTCCAAGCTCAGCGCGAAAGCTCTCATAGCGCCTGATAGGTAGGCAACATCTTGCCTACAGTGCACGCGTGTACTGCGGGACGGCCTACCCTACGTCTCGCAGGCGCCGAGCCCCCGTCCCGTTATTTGCTCAAATGAATCGATTGGAAAAACGGGCGTACTTTCTGGCCGATCCATACCCGATACGTTTTTATAATGTCGCGAAGTGTAGACTAGTCATTCTGCTAAGAGGACCCCCAAAAAGCGTTTGTACAAATTATGCAATAACCAAAAATTTTTGCACACGTTTCTGCGCTGATTTCAGCAAGTCTGTGTGTTAATTTTTAAGTAAATAATGGATATTCGCACGACTTTGTCCATAGTGGAACCTCTTTTTAACTTGGCATAAACGTTTTCAGGAAACCATCCAATTACGACAGTTAGGTTTGGCCACACCACATGCAACCCGATCACCGTCCACAGGATGGCAGGGTCTCAGAGGCTGTGCAGTGCACCGCTGCGTAGCCGCAGGTTCCATGCCTTTGCCGCTACTTCCCTTCACTACCTCCGACGTCCCTTCAGGTCATCCGGCCGAGCAAGGCCAATGCTTCCACCCCACCCCCTCTCCTTCTCCCTCCGTATTCGATTCTCGCCTTGATAGTAGTAGTAAATAAAGAGCTCAGGGCTGGAAGGCGACGCCGGCGACGCCTCGCGCCCACGGGCCCCACCACACCCCA